CTCCCCAAGTCACATAAAGTTTTTTTACTGTTTTTTACTTAATAATTCGTTATACGTTTTCGCTATATGTATTCTTTTTGACTAAATAAATATATTCGTTCTGCAGTTAGTTGCATTAGACTGCACTGAAAAATCCATGATCGCACTCGAGCACTTTGCAACAAGCACTATCGCTTGGGCGCGTTTTCCACAAAAGTATTTTATTTCGAAAATTTCACTATCCTGTAATAAAGATATTCCACACATACATCGCTCGCAGACTGCAACTTAGCAACTGCAGCCGAAAATACGCACCCACTGAGACAGAACGGGACGTCCTTCCAGAACGGCCAACTTTACACAACGGACTCATGATCAAATGATTTTTGATTCAAAACATTTTCAATCAAAAACCTAACATCGAAAGGAAATGAATTCTCCAAACATCATAAAAATGCATTCAATACTGTCAATAATTGACTGAACTTGTATACTTTAAATAACACGCGAAATTCATAAAATTAAGTTACAGCAAGTGTCAGACGAAGACGGAAAATTGGGATTCCCCTCGAGACATGCAGCGCTCGACGACCAAACCCCCACCCATTTGTTGCCACACCGCAGGCCCTAAGTTGAAGCGTAAGGCCAAAGAGCAAATGCAGTAATAGAGGCAAGAGCCAAGAGGGTGGTGCAGTACCTGGTAGGGCACAAGATGCCGGAGAGGGCGCCAGTTGAGAGCTCTTTGTTTTCAAAATGATTTCACATACTTCGACATTACTGCAATATCTTGAATATTGAATGTCATTAACCCTAGATTACAAAGGCGTCGTCTGTCAGACGACGCAACTAGAGTCGAAAGCTTCCCTCATCCCCTTCCCTTCACTCTCTGTTTCTGAAACTGTGTACCTTCACTGTGTGACTAGCCAGTGAAATATATGTATCGTTGTGCTTATGTCTATTTCCGATAAAGACCATTTTAAAAAGCGTCGTCCAGTAGGCTAAGCCTTTGTAATTACATCAGTGATATATCACTATATTGGCTAATATTGTAAATAATGACTACAAACGTCTTGCCTTATAGCATTTAAGTTTTGTTCTGAACATTTAGTAATCATAATGGGACGATGGTGATCATAAATAAGGTCGCATAACAAGATACTTCTACGAACGCTTCTCAAAAGGATGTATGGACAGCACCAAGTAAGTGTCTGCAGTGAGAGTCAACTCATTTAGATGTATGTACAAAAACATTTTAAATGTATTTTCTAACTATATAATACATGTTCAATCTATTAATTTAGTGCTTCATTGTAAAAATGAATTTATATTTAATTTTACCCAAACAGTTTGTCAGACTACGCCTTTGTAATAATGCTTAGTCCAGGTCACCTTTGTAATCTAGGGTTCAAACCTTGTGTGGGCCACAACTCCACTGATACTAACGTTCTACCAGGGGGACCGTGATCCCCGGGTGGGCACCTAAGCGTTAGTCTTTATCCGCACCCCCGTCTCCGCACAAGTACGATGACGAGCCGCAGTTTGGCCTCGCGGCAACCTCCCCATTCAATACCTGGGTTGGGGCCGCCCTGCCTGCTCAGAGCTACTAGCTATCCTGGCCAGTACCGTAGCCCAAACAATGCGCTACTCTCATGCGCCGGGAACGGCGTCTCATCAGGAAGGTGTAGGCTACCGTTCAACAGCTTCTCTCCAAACTGCGTGTATCCCAATCACTCCACCGTCAGAAACACGACCATTTATGCCACAATCAGCCATCAAGAATTCGTAATTAGCATTCACTACAGCTAGTAGAACAACACTGCATGATTACTTATAATTGTAGTAAAATGTTCCAGTGTTGTAAGGTTTGACGATTTCCACGTTTTTCCATCCAAGGCCCCAACGCAATGCGGAAAATTTCATCTCTCGCTTGAATTGATGTGCCACACTTTTCCACTCTGCGTGGTGCCTAGGCAACTGAAAAACAAACATGAAACAGATGAACAGGTGAATTTTGCGCTTTTTAAATTATTTTGGATTTAAACCTAGGTTCCTATTTCCAACACAATGTCATATACGTCGCACAGGTGTATGAAAACCATAATTTACAGAAACTCTTTTTTTGAAACGTCTTTGATGTTTTGTTTGTTTTTTTTTAAATTCACTATAAAACGATCAATTTTTTGTTTCATGATTCTGTTTCTCAACATACTGAGGAAAATGAAGACATCGAGCCTTCCAGCCAGGAGCCTCTCTCAGACCAGGCTCAACAGATTGACCAAAGTGCCTCCTCTTACAATCTGCCCCGCCCACAAAAATCGAAAAAGAAAAACATTGATTTTAGTAACCAACGGACAGCTAATGAGCTTCTTGAACTAGTATGCTCAAGACTTCGACAACCTGCCTCTGCTCATGATCATATTGCTACAACTTGGGCAAAAGTGCTCGAGGTTATGGCACCTGATCAGCAGGTGTACGCCAAAAAATTCATTAACGAAATTCTGTTTGAAGGACAAATGGGTACTCTTCACCGCCATTCAGTGGGCATCAATCAACCAATGCGTGAAACATTAAACACTCCCGTCAGTTTCCACTCCAGATCGACTGAGATCACCATGTCCGATCCATCACCAATTAATGAAGCTTTCGATACCTTGTACGATCCTCATCCCACCAGAATAGTAAATTTTGTTGTTCGCAACGATAACGAACAGTTAGAAGAACCACCCCAAAGAGGACGACACGAAGATACGCGTTCGTACTTTTCCAGTTATCAATGAACTGGGACAAACTAACAAGTTTTTTCACATTTTGTTTTATCCGCAAGACATGTTCTTTTTCATGTTCATTTTATATACGTATATTTTAAGTAAGTAAGATTTTAAAGTACCAGTACAACTTACGTTCTAATATTACGTACCTAGTATACACGTATTAACACGTATCATTCGAGTATCAAGTTTCTCAATCAGAGGGCAAACCATACTCAGCAGTTGCACAAACACCTCTTCATTCATCCTCAGGAAATTTTGATAAAGTGTAGGTTCAGAGCTCAGTTCGCGAAGAAGGTTACGATAACCATGGGTCGGTCGCTTCTTCAAATAATTCCTGACCCACACTCTTTTCTTATTATTATTTAAAGACTCCTTCATCACTGCACACAATACAACTACGCTTCTTTCAACCTCCGGGTTTGCCCTGGGCCAAGAAACATCTACGGCTATGGCTGAGTACATTGCGATGTGCCGTGCTTCCATCACGAATGCTTAGTTGAAACTGAAATTTTGAGCAATATTTTTGTGTAGTGTGAGGGGTCTACGACTTTTCAATATTTTGAACAAAAATACGCTCAATAATTGTGCTCAAAATTTTGAGCGAAATTTTTGCCAGTGGAGGGCCTCTTAAGGGGCAAAAAAGCATCAGAGATTTTTATAACACGACATTGATAGCGAACCCAAACCTGCAGGCGAAGATGGGCGTCTTGGTTTCCTTACAGAAATCTGAATGTTGCCATCCGAAAAGCAAAGGTCACTAGTCACAATCGCAGTATGGGTGTCAACAAGGACGCAGTATAGATCGAAATGTTGTACTTAGCATGCATTGAAAAATGTTACACTTAGCATGCATTTGCCCTTTTTCATGTTGGCGAAACGAGTGTAACCACTGATAATAAGTTCTTGTTGCTCAGGAGCGACAAAGAACCGGAGCGCCGATCCGGATGTCCGAGATCGTTAGGCAGTAGCCGTAGAGATCTCGGATCGAGGGCTCGAATCCCGCCTCGGGCATGGTTGTATTAGTGTTCGTCCTTTCACCCCCATCATCAGGTCATCATTACAGTTACCATACCGTAAATGCAATAGTGCTCGCTAATTACCTAGGTGTTGATGCGACCTTAAATAACAGAAAATTAGGAGGAATTGGCATTTTGGCAAGTGCAGAAAGAGACAATAGAAACGGTCATATGAGCAGTGAGTGCGGCAGATACTTTTTTTGGTGGTGGTGGTGGGGGGGGGGGTACAAAAAGGTTTTGCTCTCGATCTTCCCTATGCCAAAATTAGGCTACCAACCGCTGAAAAATGCTTGTAAGAAACAACATGCAAGATCTGACTGCTTCAACCTTGGAAAAAACTATGAAGAATGGAAAGGCAAGGGTGCGCTGAAGAAAATATCTGAATTTTCTACTACTAAAGGAAAACAAAGGATAAAAGCAAGGAAGGGTAGACCGTCTAAACAGAACTCTACAAGCCATATGTTACAATCTTCCACTGAGAGCTCATCGACTTGTACTAGTGACAAAAGATGATTCCTGTACAACAAACATTTGTTTCTTTGCTTCACTGTCAAAGATTCAAATCACACGGTCATATCTTGTAGAGAGTGTAACACATCTGGACTGTGCAGATTGTGACAAACTATCTTTCATTTGCAAATTTTGGAAACGATGTTTCTAATGTAGTGACCGTTTTGTTTTATTTAGTTTGCGGATGAAACACACCACAATCTAGATTTAAACCAAGATGAAACAAATCGTTTTTGGCAGTCTTGTTTCACATTTTCCTTAGTACACTCCCATTCCTGTTCTCCTCTAAATTTTTAAATATCAAGTTTTTTGCCAATGGGTACATTTGGGAGGTAATGTTTACATCAATGACTATTTAATGTAACAATAATTATATTTATTGTAAGTTGATTATAATAACATAAACATGTATTTTTGCAAAACTGTTGATCACTTGGTAATTAGTTTCAAAAGAAATGATGGGGATAACTTGATCCCCTTTAAAATTGATTGGATTTTTTTCTATAGGACTTAGGGTCGAAGAGTTGTAGACAAAACTCCCCAAGATGTCAGAAAAATGCTGTTTTTCAGGTCTTCTGTGGTTAGCATAGGATTTGGGAGATAGAAAACTTAATGCCAACTGGACTATTATTAATATGTTTATGGAAAATACTTATGCTCAGGATTGTATACCAATTTTTTTCAGGTAGTTTTCAAGGAAAATATGAAATATTTAAAACAAAAATTCTAATGCACAAATATGAACAATGTTTGTTTATTTCAACATAAATAACATATAACACAGCTATTTTTAAGCTTTACATCTCATTTTTAGAGCACAATTTTTCAAAAATTCATCAAAAAATACTTCCAGTCTTCAGTATGAACAGGTACAACACACCTCTCAGTTTTAAATTGTCTCTAATTTCAACTAGGTTTGAAAGAATAATTTATTTCCATTTTGAACAATGCCTTAATTAGAAATATATATTTTGTGAATTAAGAATTAATGAAATAAGTAGTCCAAAACATAAGTTATATCAGATTGTAAACATATTTAAATTATTTCATTTGAATTTTTAAAACTATAATTCATTTGCGCTTCACACACCTACACACACACACAAATTTCTAAACAATTTAGTTTTGTGGAATGTAAAATATTTTTCACCTCCACTTCCTTCTCATGAATTATTTTTCCTTTAAAGTCCTATGTTTTGCAAAACGAACTAAAGGCAAATATCTTACAACCTTGCTGCAATTCCAAGTCTTATTAGCAAGACATGTAAATAATGAGTATCTGATTCTGAAAAACACTACATACATTATTCTGAACAAAAACTTACACAGCTTATGAGTAACAGCTAACTCTTAAGAAATGGTTATCAAGTGCTTGGTAAAATCTTTCCTGCATCTTACTATCATTTGACTCGCATAGCAAATGTCTAAGCATACAAACAAATATTACACGGATCCATACTATTCATTTGCAACTAATTTTAGCAAAAAACCAACAAATTTCAAACAACAAATGCACTTGAGAACTGAAAAAGTTAAATTAGAAGAGAGCAATGCAATCCATGAACAATTTTCAAATATTTGTTTAAATACCAACGTATCCTGTTTTTAACAAGCAAAATAAAAAAAAAGGATATATCTCTAATGATTATAAAAATCTTACAGAAAATATCTGTTAACCAAGATACAATATATTTATTAAAAAAAAAATTTTAAATAAATAAAACAAGAAAAAGTGCCATATTGGTATAGGTATCTGTTGCCAAAGACATTAAATTTTAATTTTTGATTTAATCAATCATCCTCCATTAAATACCCTGTAGTATAGAAGAACAGTAATGAACAACTCATGCAGCAAAGACATGTCAAATATAAATTTAAGTGCATTTACACACAGGTTTCCATTGACAAAAAACTTCTACATCCTTTCATTACATACAATATGTTAAATACTTATATAACAGTTCTGATTTTTGAGGCTCGGATCAACAGTAGAAGTTTATGCAGGAAAATTGTAATTTAATATTAAGTCCCTTTACAAGTAAAGGCATATAAAATATTTTTTATTTTCTTTCTGAATATATCAACTAACTTAATAATCTTACTGTTCTAGAAAATTCTTATATTTATTTCAATTTCAATGGAGGAAGTAGACTAATCTACATCAAAATTACATTTCTGATATAATAAAATAAGAAGAAATGTCACATATAATATACAGAATACAACAAGAGATATAATGCCCATCTTTGTGAACAAATTTAACAGTTGCACAACAATAATGCTTGGTAGACAGGGACAGGACAGGACAGGACATTTATATACCTACTATTCATTTTAATTTTGAATCAACAAGGTAACATCAGTATTAAGTAACATAGTGAACACACGTTTCAAGACACTTAAATAATGACAACAGTACTTGCTCAAAGAGAAATGCACTTACAATTAGGCTATCTTTCAAACAGTTCCTCCATGCATCATCAAGGTGGGGATTGAGGAACTTCATCTGTTGGCTGATCTGTGGGTCCAGCACTTATCAATCTTTCCTCATCTTGTTCTTCAGTATTTCTTTGGCACGGAATACAGCTCATAAGTTTTGGTATTAATATGTTGTTATAAACACACATTCCAATGAGAAAGATGATAAATCCCACAACCTAAAAAAATCAATAAATAAACAGTAAATCGGGAAAATCAAAAGTATATTACAGTAAATCAAAAACCAATACACAAACTATAACATCTATATCGAAGGTCTTAAGTTCCTCACTTTCACATTCACACATTCATCATTTTCACATTCATCATTTTACCATTTACATAGTGAATCATGAGTTTCTCTCCCCTCATATGTACACAGGATACAAAAAATTAAGATGGAAACAACTGAACAACAGCATACTATAATTATTTTTTTTTTACACATAATAAAAACTACATAAATTTCTCGCTCTAAACAGTGAAAGTAAACACTTTTTTGACATTCAATACAAATTTGAAACCATTTAAGTCTTTTGAGAATAAATAATAACTTTACATTCTTACCTGGAGCCAATGGAATGGTTGCCATCTCAACCCCAAGGTGCATACCCATATAACAAGAGTTCGAACACTATCAAGAACCATTCGGGTGGTAGCAGATATCTCTTTAGTCACACTAATTCCCGCAAAATTGAAGAATGCAATACTTAATATAGTGCCTATCAAGAAAAAACAATTGAGAAAGACAATTAAAAATTAAGTACTTAAAACAAATTAATAGTAGGATAATTACATATCAAAAAAATATTTATTTTAATATACTACAATTTCAAAAAGTACAAAAATCCTAAATTATATAGAGAGAATTATTATACTGAATATTCTAAGAGCTAAATAAAATACTTATATTTGAGGAACATTGTACCTGTCACAGCAATAATAATAAGGGGTTCATGTCCCATTTGCACAAAAGCATCAGGAACGTCTTCAAGCCTGTTATGTGGATTTGCACTATACGGAGGAGGTACATGAATGTAATAAAATGGTATCTGGAGAGTTCCCAATACAACAAAACCAAAGACACCTGCAAAAATATTTAGAAAACATTGACAATGAAATAATTACAACTGAACAGAGCACAAGCATATATTAAACCATAACTTTTAACTGAAGAGAGAAAGAAAAGAGAGAGAGAGAGAGAAAGAAAGAAAAGAGAAAGAGAGAAAAAAAGAAAAGAGAAAGAGAGAAAGAGAGAAAAGAGAGAAAAGAGAAAAAAAGAGAGGAAAGAGAGAAAAAAAGAGAGGAAAGAGAGAAAAAAAGAGAGGAAAGAGAGAAAAAAAGAGAAAGAGAGAAAAAAAGAGAAAGAGAGAAAAAAAGAGAAAGAGAGAAAAAAAGAGAAAGAGAGAGAAAGAGAGAAAAGAGAAAGAGAGAAAGAGAGAAAAGAGAAAGAGAGAAAAGAGAAAGAAAGAAAGAAAAGAGAAAGAAAGAAAGAAAAGAGAAAGAAAGAAAGAAAAGAGAAAGAAAGAAAGAAAGGAAAGAGAAAGAAAAGAGAAAGAAAGAAAAGAGAAAGATTTTGTGGCCTGCCATTGAAATAAAACCCAATGTTATTAACTTAAAATATTTTCAGAGTATTTCCTATACCAAGGTTCTGAAATAAGTGGGTTTTTTTAGGTATAATGGGAAAGCCATCAGTTTTATAGATGAAGAAATATAAGTGTACAGTTTTTCCGTACTTCTGAATTCTTAATATGAAACAGTGCTCAGAGAAAAGGTAAAGAAATTAAACTTAAGTTTTCAATAGATGTTAGAGATAAACTCTGTTCTTCTCCTTATAAAATAAGGGCCCGAGAGTGAAAACGATAAGGATAATAAAAGGAAAAATATTTACATTACTACAGTCAATTAATTCAAATCAGAAAAACCTAATGTACATTAAAGGAACCCAATTTACACTTTGCAAATCACGTGTTTTCTTCACAATTTTCCTGACCTCTGACCATTTTCTGATGTTTAAGTGCCTTGTACAATATCTTAAACATTCTCATGTTCAGAAAATTTCCCTCATCACTTTCTACAGATTTGAAATTGGCACTTCAGTCGGAATTTTGATTCATTAATATGTTGTCTACTAACTTAAAAATCCTGTATTTTCATAAGTCTTTCTGATACTAAAAATTATAATTTTTCATTGATGAAATACTTCACCTTCCCAGCCAACTGCCTGCAAAGCAGGAATATCCAATCCTGCCACAAACTTTTCTTCCCACACCATTTGTACAGCAGCAAGAGCTTGAGCACCAATCACCAATGCATCACCTAATAAAAAACACAAGCATTTCAATTAAGACATGAACTACCACGAAATATTTTGCTTCCTATGTACAGTTAGACTATATTTAATAAGTGATTGATTGTTAGTGTTTCCGGGTACGTCAACTATTGGGATAATTAGATCCGTAAGTGTAGTACATGTTTTTGTGGATGGCTAAATCCGTCGAATACCGTTTTCCCAACCAGGTACCTCCCACCAGAGGGACATTGCCTCACCCAGAACAAGATCTAAGCTCTCAATCGGTCTCCCGGCAGCTGTAGTAGTAGGTACATGTGTGTATGTGCGCGTGCGCGTAAGGATAGGATAGGATAGGGCAAGAAATGATCCCGCGCGGCCTGAGGCCAGTTTGAAAGGGTACTGCCCCGGCACGAATTGTGTTGAAGCCTTATTTTACGTGGCGAGACTTGGGCCTTCAGGCCCGCTCTTCCGTCTGAGCACGCAAATTTCGCTATGCTCCTTTCTCCAACTAGCGAAGCGAGGTATTTCTTGGGCGACGAAACAGGCGATTTGAATTTAGCTCAGAGGGGTCTTTTAGGCTTGATCTTTTACATGCAAGTAAATCTACTAACATGGGACAGCCGGCTTTACTTCCCCTCCGAAGGAAGGCCAACTTTGATACAACGGTAATCGTTACACCATCGCCGCCGATTCGACTGGTGTTGATCAGAGAACCCACGGACTGCTACCGATCAAAGCAGCCGGCCGCTAGAATTCTCCACACAGCGATAGAACTTGACCAAGCTATCTGACTTGTGTCGAAAATATTGCCATCGTCAAATCACGAACCTATTAGCTCCCGGTCAGAAGCACTACAATGACATTAGTTGATACCCTGAGCCACCTCTCCCGGTCAGCCGTTAGGGGTATCTAAGTCGGCTCCATGGGTAGTATATATTCAATTTAAATTTCATGTAGATAGATTCGTAAGTTAACTTATATCGGTCTATATAGAGACACAAAAATACAATTGATTTGACGTGATATACATTTTACAAATCTAATAACAGTTGAAAAAATGTTTAAAAGTTGCAATTTGGAAAAGCACATACGGACACGCCTGGTTTACTTACATGTATTGACTGTATTTGTGAGTACAAGTGCTTCAAATTAATTTCAATAAAGTTTTTCCATTTTTCAATAGTGTTCAGCAACAATATATTCATCAAATTAAAATCCCAGCCTGGGATTCGAACCCGGTTCCTATTGACCCGAAGCGCTCAATGTGACAAGCCTTACCCAACTCTGCTTCCAGGTCGTTAACAGGTATACTTCTATATTAGTCAAGAAATAATTGTATCAGTTCTAGCATTAGAGAGCCATGAAGATGAGAAAATATAAAAAAGTATTTTGGGCGACAAGAGAAGCCAGTCATGAAGAAAATTAGGCCTGCCCGAAAAGCTAATCCACACTGAAGAGCTTAGACAATTAGTGCAAGAAAGTCTGTGCCATTTTATAGTCTGTACCATATTACCATTAGTTTATTTACCATACGCTATTACATATGAGGAGAAACTGTAATGAAAATGTTTCATGTAGGTTTTGAGAAAATATTTTTAAAATTGCATAAATTTTAGTAATTAAATAAGCAAAAACACTTAGATTTTTAATGTACATTTCCTTTTCTAAATAGCTGTTTTTTACAACAGACTTTGTTTAAAGCAAAAATTGCTAACTCCAATTTTGTAGTTTTCAAATGAATGGGTGAAAACCAGAACAGTGTAAGTGACATTTTATAAATTCTGAGAAAAACCTGTTTATTTTAGGCTATATTTCAGTGGTAATGTATCTTCCTGGTTATAAAAAACAACTGTTGTTATAATGATGAAAAAGCATCACGATTTTACAGTGATATTGACTTAAACAGATTTATCAAAATTTATAAAATGTCATTCTGGATTTCCTCCATTCAAAAGTTCACTTTCGGGGATTTTCGAAGAAATGGAAATACCAAAAACTGGGACAGCATGCTCCATATTACATGCAAGGAGCAAATTTTAAGAAAAATTTGGAGCGATTTTTGAGAATTTTTAGAAACTGCAAAAATTTTATACAATTCCGCTAGTCCTCAAAAAATTGTACATTACCTTTTTTAAACACCTGATTTTTAAAAACAGACTGTTTAAAAACAAATAGATTCTTATAATTTCGTTTTCAAATGTTCACGTTTTGGGATTTTCAAAAAAAAAGAATAACCGAAAATGGGACTAGCAAAATATTTATCGTCCATTATTACAAATGAGGAGAAAATTTAAAGAAAAATTTTGGTGATATATATATATATACATTTGATGACTACACATATACATTATCTACGGCTTTTCACATCCATTTTCTCCCAACTTGACAATAAGCAATACACAGAAAGAATTTGTTTCAGATTACAAAATTGGGCTTTTTGGTTTTTTAACTGACTGAAAAAAGAAGTAGTAATCGTCTGAATAAAGTGTTTCTTTCAAAATTTACATCAGAAAAGAAGAGTTAAAAAGATGTAAAGTTTGGTTTAAATGAGATAGTGTTGTTTCACTAATAGATATTGTTGCTCTACCACCCAAAATTTACTACAAGCTCCAATTTGAAAACTTTTACTTAAATTGAGAAGACACTTCACCAATGAAGGATTCTGTGTCACAGGAACCTTTCAGGGATCAAAAACAAATAAGATTTCCATCTTACAATAAATGGTGAAATGTAAAAAATGAAAAGGGGTTCAAGTGATTTTCAGTATTCTGATGAAATCCTTATTGTATGTCAGAGGGACAATAATGTAAGCATAACAACAAATCAAGAATCAGAGTATAGAACCTGTGAGTATAGAACCTGTGAAATCAAGAATCAGAGTATAGAAATGGTAGAAAGAAAAAAGAAACCAAATGCTTATTGCACAGTCTATCATTTTCAGATTTAAATTGTGTAGAATTTATGGAAGAATTTATTGATGAAGATGGTAGAAATAACGAGAAATCAAATGCTCATTGCACAGCCTGTCTTTCAATTTACAGGTATGAGCAGTGTGGAACTTTTGTATAGATTGGCAGCTGCCTACAGAATGCGTGCCAAAAGAAAGGGTAATAGTAAATTATTTCTTATATACTCGATGTGTGATTGTCAATGCATGGCTGGTAGCAATAAAAAACTATACCAACCAAAAACAAATCAGAAATCCTTTTAAAATACTATAGAGGTGTTTGTCTCTGTTGAAAAACAATGCCAGAGCATCACACTGTGGAAAACAAACATGAATTTTAGATATGATGGCAAAACCATTGGATTTATTCAGTTTTAACAAAAAGAAAGGAAAAACATGAGAAAGACCAATTTTACTATGTGGAAAAACTAATTGTGGAGCCATGTCCTAAATGTTTCAAACAAAACCATCCCTTCTCTTTGTCTTTATTTTATTATTTTCTTTCACATAACTAATACATGAAAAAAATATAAAAATAAAGAACTATCTATATTTCACAATTGTTTCATTTAATTTTTTTTGTAATAAGATTCCAAATTTGTGAATTACTGGAGAACGTAACATGTTGCTATCGCATGGGATCAAATTTTTCAAATGTTATATTGTGCAAATGGCTGACAAAATTATTTTATAGCAGGTAATATGTTATTTATTGATAATAAAGTAAGAAACTATTGAAAAGTGCAAAACTATTTTCAGGAACTTTCATAGGTTAAAATTGAAACATTTTTATTAAATTACACCTGGCACTGTTAGAAATGATGCAATGATATTAAATTCAGATATAAGGGGTTTGATTAATTTCATGGTCTTATTCTGAATGCCTTATTAACTTAGACACAAATACAGTTTCTGAATATCTGAAATTAGTTAGGTCATTTTCTTAATTACAGAATTACAAAATAAGCTCATTTTATTTTACTGCATTCTTAGCTTCTAATTACATTGCAATTGAACATTTAACTTTCGTTCATTCGGTCCTTTACCACAACTGTCTGAAAATCGGCATCCAATTAAATCTAATGAATTGTGTTATATTTATCTCTTTCTTTCAAACAATTTTGTGACATGGTTCTACACTTTTCCTACAATAATTTTAATTCTACACAATTTCAATCTATATGATATTACAATTTGTTACATTTAATATTTAAAATTACTTTTATAACATTAACATGGGCTGATAGAGAGATATCTGGATCTTTTATATCCACCGTTTGCAAAAATAAGTTTCATCTACGATTTTATTCTAACCATGAAAACGCTTAGCTGTGTAATTATACAATTACGAAGTTCATGAAAAACAAGCAAACCATATAGAAATATTCTATTATAACATCTGAAGGGCAATGTACATGTTACTAAATATTACATTACACCTTTCAGAAGAATATAAGTGAAGACAAAGTATACAATCTTGAAACAAAATTGTTAACCATAAGATAACAGAGAGCAATAAGAATCTGAACAAAATAAATTCACCATTCTCCAATTCTCAAATTTAAGATCCAACACCTATTAGCATAATTGAAAAACTTCTGACTGTTACTGTTAATCAACTGAAACATACATACCTAGAATTATATCAGATGTGCTGTGATTGCCAGAACCTTTCATAAAGCCATACTTTTCCTCTGAAATTCCAGTCACATTTTTATCATTTTCTGCTCCTAGATCAGAAAGTCCCACAACTACCAAACCTATAATTACAAAGAGTATACCAATCCATTCCCTAATCTTGAGTTTTCTTCTCAGAAATATTCTAGAGAAAATCCCAACAAACACAATAGCAGCACCTACAACAGATTTTTAGCAGTTTTTATGATGTTAAAACAAGTTGTCAAAAGTTTCAACAATCTTTTAATAAGTTAAAAATATACAAAATATCCATTACCTCGCAACATTTGAAATGAAGAAGCGTACGTGAGATTAAGTCCAATGTACATCAAAGATGTTAGACACATATCACAAAGAGCTGGTGGCAATAGGACAAAAGGATTAAAATTTTGATTTCCTTTCACCAAACCAACATTTTCTATTGATCCATCCTGCAAAATAAATTAACTAAAAGACAATTCACAGACTTGAAAATTTCATAAGGATACACATATTTAAATAAACATACCTGTTTACGAGAATAGTAGAAGTAAAGAATTTTAAACACAACTAAGCACATAATTTCACCTATAAACATAGAACATGCTTGTACAAACGGATGTTGAAAATATACAACTTTACCCGCACTGTTTTCAGCTTTCAAGCGATCAGTCCACCTGCAAAATTAGTTTCTCAGTGAAAACAAACATCAATGCATGATATTTATGTATAATATATTAACTTTACTCACTTTGTTGTTAGGGTATTAATTGAACCAGTTGCTACAAGCAAAACTACAAGAAATACTTGATACTTGGTGAATGCCATTTCAAATTAAATAAAGAACTATCTTTCATCAAATTTTCAAAATATAACCGAACAGTAAAATTCTAAGAACGCATGAATGCAAGCATATCTTTCCAAGCCACTTGAACCACAATGACCAATGGAGAATGCCGACAATTTTCTTAATTTTAAAGCATACCACCAAGAGAACAGCAACACAAAAGATAAGATAACGAAAAGAAAACAACCACAAATGAACTTTGATACTTATTAAGTGCTAACAATTTCGTGGAAAAAATTTGTTTAGGGTGTTTGGAAACAAAGAGAACACCAGAGTACACTCAAATGATCATCGCACTACACAATATTTTGTCGAAACAGTCTTAGTTATGTGAGAGTTCAAACATTGAACTGATACGGCGTTAATTTGAGTTGAAAACATAGGTTTTTCAAACCTAAAACAAACTCAACCATGAACAAAGAGCCTAATTTGCACCCTACGCGCCTTCTGGGTCGTATTTGTGATGAAGACTAATCATCACCTGACATTTGACAGATTCCATATGATTTGTCTGTCAGCCAATCACATGACCAATCGCGTGACCAACACAAACCACACAGTAAAGATCATGAATCCTATTTTGTAACAACAATTTCCTTGAGAAAGAGAAATATTTTTGTTACATTTGTTTTTACTCATTGATAAACGTCCAATAGGTCTTACATTATTAAAATATACCAGTAAGCTTCAGAAATATGTATACAATCATATGCCTTTGTGTTGGCAACAGAAACAGATGAATGCGAAACAATTTCTACTATATCCGAAGAGTATTGACTATAATGAAATGTGTGTTTTTTGCTAGAGATTCAAGGATTCAAAATGTTTACTTTCTGAATAATTAATTTAAAAAACATTATATATAGTGTCATCATTATTATTATTACTTAATATTGACTACATTTCACCTTTTCTCTCATCACTGGTTTTAATTTTCGTTCAGAACAATATTGTAAACAAAGTTAAAAGGAAAATGGGAATTTACAATAAATCGTCTGTTATTCCTTTTCGTAAATACTGAGAGAACTTAGTTTCTGGGCCCCCTTTTCTATGCAACATTTTTAGGCTTATTTTACTAATGAATAAAACATTTTACAAAGGCGAAGGAGAACCTATTGAAATCGAGATGACCTGTGGTGTCCCACAAGGTTCGAAACTTCGTCCTGTCTTATGGAATATTATGTACGACAGTCTACTGAGCATAAAACTTCCGCAAAATGTCTCAATAATGCTTTGCAGACGATGCAATAATAGTGGCAACGGCGGAAACATCGGCCCTACTAGCGGTCATCGTGAACGACAGCCCGAGAAGAGTGATGAGATGGCTGACGTCCAAAGGGCTGGAAGGGCAGCCCATAAAAACCGAAGCATTGCTTATCATGGCAGACGATCCTATTCCAACCCAATATTCCTAATAGGCAAGGAAAATATACAATTCGCAAGAGCCTTCGCTATTTAGGAATGGAAATTGACGAAAAGTTAAGTTTTGGACCACACGTTACCGAGACGATGAAAAAAACACCAGGAATAGCAGCATCGCTTTGAAGATTGATGCCGAACACCAGGGGCCCCAGCGACAAGAAGAGACGACTTCTTATGCATGTGATGCGCCGTATCTGTATCCGTAAGTGCTGTTCTTCTGCGGGCGAACGTCCCTTCTATTGGCCTGCTTGCTCTAGAAAGGAAAGGAGTTTACGACTACTCCCATGAGCAAGAAGGCAACGGAAGGCGAACGCACCAAGACACGGATAGCGCAATTAAAAAAGCAAAAGAAAACGTTATACACCATTGGCAGAAACGCTAGGACAGAGAGGAGACCGGCAGATTGACTCATAGGCTCATCTCGAATGTATCCAAATGGATAAGTCGCAAACACGGGGCAGTAACATACCAGTTACCCCAGACGCGGTATGCTTCTACTGCAGCCGTGAAGTGGACGACGCCGAACATACGCTGTTCCATTGCCCGAGAGGGGACACGCTAAAACATCGCATGATATGGCAGGTCGGGTGTAATGTCTCACCAGAAAACATACAGTTTCACTAATGATCTCTAACGAGAGGAAGTGGACAGCAATAGAGAAGTGGAGAGCAATACATCACCGCCATTCTCAAGAAGGAAGAAGACGAAAGAAACCAGTGATAGCTGGACATGAATAGCACCTTGAAGTAATACAGCTGGCACCATCCTGAAGTAATGCATAATTGCGGTTCCAGGGTGGATAACGCCAGGAACATAAAGGGTTTGTGGTTTTAGAGGGTGAAAATCTCACACTGTTGAGGAGTGCGGGCTCCTCTTCGACTTGTTAACGATTTCCACAGTTCTTACTGGGAAATAATAGATAGACAGACAGATAGATAGATAGATAGATAGATAGATAGATAGATAGATATTTTTGCTTTTATGTTGAAACTTCTTCATGGTTGCAAGATAGCTTGGAGAGCCTCTTTCCTAGATATCTTAAAACAGCTGCCCAAAATGACAGTTTTAAAAAAGGGGAAGGCAATCAGCGATTGAACATTTTTACGGAAATATTTTTTTTTTAATTATGTAAAGCTACTGGGCCCCTTTCAAAATTTTAAGGGAAAATCGCACTTTATTTCGCACGCTCATGATGAGAATCGACTCCATACTGATCCGGAATTAACCGATTAATGTTCGCATTATTCAAAATGGTAGGGTGACCAATCGTCCTCCTTTAAGGAAGATAGTCCTTTTGTCGGTTCTGTCCTTCATCGAAAAGTGTCCTCTTACCTGTTATCCTTTTCGATATTTTAAATCCAATGTGCTAATCAAGCGTTAATGTGCTAATCTAGTTAAGCAAGTGAGAAATCAAAATTGAATATTGATACGCTAGGTGCAGTACTAACCGTAAAATCCAGAATGAGATATATTTCTTGCTTCGAAATTTCCAGTATAATGAATATACTCTAAACAAAGATTTCAAACAACACGTCTATTACACACCTCAGCACACAATACTGATCAGCCCTGATTCCATTTACAAGATAAAAGGATTTCCCAGTGTGTCTTCCAATATTGTTAGAAAATTATATATAGACAAAAAATATTAATTCAATGGAAAAATACTCCTTTAATTAAATAATTGAAAGAGATGTAAGCATAATTAGTATTTTGTTGGAATTAACATATTTCATTTATTTACGTTGTACTTTTTCCTTAAATTATCATACCCCTTTTCATTGTACAAAAATAGACACCTTAAATGGTCATTATTTTCCTTTTTACTCCTGGCACCCATCTTTATCACGCTGGAAACATATTTGCAAGCATGGGTGACTCGAAGGTACGTTTTGACTTTCTGTTCAAACGAGGTAAGATATATGGCAAGAAGCATTGAACTTGGGCTCCAGGCTAGGAAGTGTTAAAATTCGCTACGAGAAAGGCACACGATACCAGTCAACAGTTTTCAATTTATTTCATTGATATTGACAAACTTCATTTACGCGTTGTACGCATATACGCATTTACGAGGAATACAATCCTACCTTTGAGAATGACCCCCGATCCCTTTCGAAGACAGAGGTCTCTGTACACAAAAAACAATAAAACCCGTTTCAGTTATGACTATTAGCGAATCAACACGATAACTTCTGTTACGTTATTGTAAGATATACATCCGAACTTTAAAAATAAAACAATAAAAAATAAATTAGAAAACTTACGTATTCTTTATACTTTGGTGTGTTTGTGATCAGGACAAACCATGGGCTGCTCACCAGTGTTGTGTCACCTGTACAATAAACCTTAGGTTGTGGTTGTATGGAAAACTCAAATTATTGTCATTCCCTCTATGTTGTGGATAATACCAATTCTCAGACAATTTTGTAGTTATATAATGGGAGTGACAATGCGGAAATTAGTGTAGGATTTTGAATATTTGAAATACTAAATAATGTTTGATAGTAATATGGCCACGTTAAGCGCCTCAAATATTTTCCTACTTGCTTATTTCAACATTTAGCCAAATTAGCCAGCATAATGATGAATTTTAACACTTTTGCTTCAAGTTGAAATAGCTATATCAAAAAAATTCAGGAATATTTTGTTGTTTTACAAAAACAATGTAATGTGAAGGTAATATGCTCACATGCAGGTTTTATGGCCATTGCTGGATTAACTGGTTTCTTGTAGCATGACCATGGAACTAGGGCTAGCTATACTAATATATAATACGAATTATCCTCTGTTACTATAATTTTACAAAAATACGGCCTGATGACTTCAGTAACGTAAAGATTGCTGGGTTACTCATAAATTCAGTATTTTCTACAATGAGACTTCATTGTACAAAATTGAAAACATCAGTAATTGCTTCAAAACGTACAAAAAATAGTTTGACAGTGACATTGACATTGAGGTCAAATAAACGTTTCTGTCTTAAACAGTTAGCCCTACACTTTCTTCGTGTACTCATTTCACCCCCCCCCACACACACACACACACAGCATCGATGCATGTCCTGAACTGCCTCCTCTCAGCAAACATCACAATAAAAGCTTTTCCGATTTTTCTCTGCAAGATTTGTTTCCTCTAGTGTTTACATCTTTTGTTGGATTTTCTTCATAGAAGCGTGATTTTTCTTGCCAGGATTATCTTTATTCTTTGTCTTTGCCGGCTGATCCAATTTATTATTTTGTCTGGAAGTTGATGGATTGTTTTTAAGTCTGATGTATGAGTTGAAAATAAATAATTTTTTAAAACAGTACCGCGAGAGTTTATTACTAGAGAATGAAGATAGTATGACCGTAAGTTCTATGTCCATGACCCTTGGTCATATTGACAGTAAAAACCACGAGTTATAAAATCTATCCCACTTGGGTAAAATATTGAGCAAATTTAACGGCATTAATCTGATTAGATTGCTCATTAAATGCGCCAGTCGTTGATGTATATTGTAAAAATATAAGTTCTTTTTAAGTGTAACTAATGATAAAATTACCAGGAAAGAAGTTATATGAACAGAGCGCCTTCAGCATGTTCTTGACAATGGAGGCTCTAGAGTGTGAATGCGCGAGCCAGAAAGCCTGGTAGGGAGTAAACGCACTTTTTACACTCTCCCAGAAAGCATTCTAGTACTATCTACGTAAACATTTTCAGCTAACAACATAGCTGCTACTTACTATTACCTGCACTGGCCATTTTTGCATCACTTCCCGTATGTTCATATATTTTGAATGTGGCGTGGTATGAACTTTGTATAATTATTTTCGAAATTGGCGTGATCGTTTGTTTTTTTTGAAATCACCTACTGTCACCCTGCAGGTATGAAAAAAAACGTTTCTGTTCTCTAATGTAATCAATTAAATAGTATCTTTCCATTTATGCCCCAAAATCTTAGAAAATGTCCACTCAAATATGTCCTATGAAGTATAACTTCTCATAACATAGTTCCGCATAATTTTTACATACAGTACACTCATCCGACACTTTCATCTTACTATAGCGTTC